TTCACAAAACTACACAAAACTCTGTACAGTTACCGACATCTATGAGCAATGGTGGCAGCCAGACAACCAGTCTGGTTACCGCCGTCGCTCATAGGTTGCGGCAACCTTTCTAGCTATCATAGAAGAGTGGATAGTTGGGTAAGTTGTTGGGAATTCATCGTAGGAAACGGCGCGAAAAGCAGACGAAGACTAAGAAGAAGCACACGTGACATGCGCAGAGCTCCTCCCATGTGTTTATTCCTCGTCCTCGTCTGTTTTGCACACTGTTTTCTACGTTCTTGTCACTTGCTATTTGGACTCACGATGGGTCGGCCGCGTGCCCTTTCTTCGGGGAAAGAAGACCGGGTGCGGAAGGAGCGGCGACGTACGCAGCAGCGCGAGTGGGTCCGCAACCGCCGCGAAGCCGCTGTTGCCTCGGGTTCCACTGTTTCAAACGCTTCAGATTCTCTTGCGAAAGAAGAGAACATCACTCGCCTCGAAAGCCGCCGCAGAGAACAGAAGCTACAGCTCCTCTGCTCTTCCTTCTTCACCAGAATAGAAAGGCTAAAAGTTTTTTTTTGTCAGTAATGTCATAATTCTGAGATTCTATTGAGTTTCTCATGGGATGAAACTCTTTTTAAAAAGTAAACCCTCATACCGCAAATATTTGAAAGCAAATAAAACAAGCCGCTCCAATCCGGTTCCAAGCCGTGTGGCTGGTTCCCCGCACGGCATGTCGTAGCCAATTTTTCTACTGCATTATTTAGTTCTTTATTTGTGTTGTTCCCGTGCGGCTGCAGTCGTCGTCTTGAATTAACCCCTCTAGAGAAGGTATTCACTCAGCTGCAAGCGATGCTTTACGGACAGAAAAATCGCTTTCGATCAACTTGAATGCAGTCAAAGCCACGACTTGCTGTGGGTATTAAGTGTACGGAGCTACGCTGTGGTGAGATCAAAAACTTCTATCGCTCATCCCAGCGCTCCACGGGGAAGGCAGTTTTTCCAGGAACCACATTATATTTAAAGGGACACTAACACCCCCCAAAAAGTTTTTTTCATTTTTTGCCAGGCGCTTCATTGTGGTATCGGAGGACTACCCACTTAATATTTTGCAACAGAGTAGCGTATTTTTTTTAATAAAGCCAAAAGACGCAACTGCTCGAAACCGAAACCGAAACCCGACGGGGGTCGGAGAAGTGGAGAGAAGAGAGCGAGTGGCGGAAGTCACGTGGCTACACCCGACCGTGCGTTTTTTTTTCTCCTCTCCGTAGCAGACGACACGACATGCGGCGTACGGGAACTGTTTGCCGTGCGATTCTTTTGCAGTTATGTTTGTTCTGCTCGTTGTTCTGTACTCCAAGATGAGTTGTTTTGTACATTGAGGAGTTGGAGATGAGTAGTGAGTCCCCGCGGTGAATTTCCATGATCGGCTCCGAAAAGAATACACCCAATATGTTGCGTGAAGAGCTGGCTCACATGTCCTGCGTCCGAAAAAAAAGGGGCATTGTGTGAAAGAGTTTCCGAAAGATCAGCGGGATCGGGACCAATGGCTGGCTGCAATTCCTCGGAAAGCGGATGCTACCTGATTTATATGCTCCTTGCATTTTGTGGAAAGTGATTGAGTTCCCAGGCGTCAAAAAGGAAATCCCATATCATTTAATTCAGCGAAGTGTCGTCCACAACATTTGTTTGTTATGTTTTTGTTTGTTTCTTCAGTGATAATTGTAAAAAAAAAAAAAAAGATATGTAAACATCCGAAAATGTTTGGAAAAAAAAGAGGTTCCACGGGGGGATCGAACCCGGTCCTACCGCGAAAAAAGCGGACGTCTTTTCCACAGAGCTACTGGGGCAACTCTCTACTGGTGGATCTCTTTCCTTAGTAATAATTCAGCATGTAAACTAAGTTGGAAAGTTTGATGCCGATTTTCTTCTACCACAAGCACTTCCGGGTCGAAGTCGGAAAGCACCACGCATCGGCGACATTCCCACCTAGTAAAGAAATCGTACGCGTGCATATTCAACTCGAAGTAGACACGTGGTGCTTTACGTTTCCGCGAGCGATGTCTTCAGCTACGAGAAGGGAGCGACGGCTCGGCGACGTCTTCGTGCAAATCGGCTTGGTGCTCGGGCGTGCCGTACGGGATGAATACTAATCCTTTGATCAGTCCCGAATTCCTCTTTTAAAGGTAGACAGAATTCGCCGGTACCGCGAACAACAGTTCTGAAATAGAGGTCCCACGCCGTCCCCGCGAGTCCCACGATACGCGAAACGACGAACGCACACAATGCTTTCGGTTGTCTGTGGAACTTTTTTTTTTTTTTTTTTTTGCAATCAACGTATATGCAGCTTTTTAGAAGCCACAAAAAATGGGTTTCATATTTTTTTCTATTTTTAATATTGAGTGTGTGTCTTCAGTGACCCACGACTTTGATTAAATTTCGTGGTCGCATCGATACCTTAGAAAACGGCCCGTGACCGCGGAAAAGAGAGTGAGCGAGACTCGAACCGGCCAGTTCTTGATCGGCGGTTTCCGAGCGGAAAGAAACCGAATTTCGAGCCGAAAATTCTGTTCTGGGTAGTTGAGCTCTCACATGTCACGTACAACTAAAAACTTCGGCGAGCATAAATACCCTGTCAGTGTCCCTTTAAAAAAGAAAATAAAGAATAGCTTTTTTTTTCTGGGGGGCGGGGGGGGGGGGGCGATTTTACCAACCATATTTTCTGAATCCTAAATTTCCAAACTGTAAATAAACGTACTTTCCGTCACATTTCCATATTTTTCAGCCCTTTCCACAGAGCGGAATCGCTCTCGGGTTGGAGACAACACAACATTGGAGACGGCAGCCACATTAGCCGCGGTACGACAGGAGCTATGTTTCAGACCAGCGTTCCAGCATGACTATCCGCAGGTCAATACAGTGAAACGTAATCCCTCAAGGGGTGTTAAAGCTCGTTAATGTAAAGCGGAATGTCAACCTGCAACACACCGCCCCCTCTGATCACAGCCCGACCAGCGGCATCAATGCCCGACAGTTTACGTCATCCCATCTTGTTGTTACATTACTGATACGCGAACAAAGGGTCACATAGACGAGAATTCCAGTATTCTGTTCAAAACGCACAACACAGCAATCGCGATGTTGCTACTATGTTGCTGACACGCAGAAATACAGAACCGCCTTGACTGCCGGTTCGCACTCGGCATCGGAAAACTGAACTGAACTCAGCACAGGCTCAGTTCAGTTCCGTTTTCACTGTGCTTCACTGGCGCTGAAGCACAGTGAACTACCAACATTTATTAAACAACGAGCGCGATATGCTCGAAGAACGAATTTGAAAGAAGGAGAGGCGGTAGGGCGAAACCCTTAATTCGCCTCCCTGGAGAAGGAGAAAAACGCCTTGTTCCTCCCTTGTTCTCGTGTTCGCTTGAGGGCGCGTCAGTAGAATGGAGGAAAACGCGCCGTTCCTACCCTTTCCTCCTTTTTTTTCCCCCTTAGAGGGCGGGTACTAGAAATTAAAAATAATAGGGTTTTATATTTACCTGGGACATCTTAGGTACGTTTCCTGGTCTTTTCACAAAGCAACTACAATATTAACTCTAACAGACTACGTCATATATCTCGTTATATTTATCTACGTTAATGTATGTATTTCAGCGGCCGTTGTGAAGTATAATTAGGCTTGGTTTCGAAAAACTGCGGCCGCACGAGCTCTTAAATTTCGGGCGGTTCTATTGACTGGTTTCATAAGATAGCCAGATACCTCAGCCTAAAAAAAGCCTTCCTCAACTTACAGTAACTTGATAATATGATCGAGCGTAAGCGATGACTTTTCCCATATTGGCGAGTAAGTGCTGACGAAGTGAAAGAGCAATCACAAGAGGTTGCAAATTGTTGCGTCTTTTTCCAGATTATAATCGTTACCAAGCTTCCCAAACACTGATTCTTACCAATTACCTATGTGCAATTTGTTAGAAGCGTATATTTTCTGATATGCTTCTACCTGAAGGTCTAAATTCTGTTGTCAAATATAAGCAGAAATAATCACAAGGATTCCGGGCTACAATAAATTTGACTACTATTATGATGTTGTGATATCCTTGGCATCGCTCGATGTTACTAGTGCAATTGGGTCCATATGAAATTACCTGTGAAACTTGACATGTCTCTTTGTACCTCCCCTATCTTGTCTCTGGTCTCAGCCACCAAGGCGTACTCTTGCTCTATGAAATTATTATATTGTGGAACAAAGCACAAGAGGGTAATAGTCCGAAAGACTGCGGACGAGGAAAAACAACTTTCCTGTTTGTTTTTTTTATTGAAATTTCGCTCCATAGACACGTTTGGGAGAGCCGGCACGTTGCTGAAGGAATCAGTCTTGCTTTCTACGTGTTAGTGGCAATTTATTAGAACAACCCTTGATTTACTTACCACCTCCATGTTATATATTGCTGATCCTGTTGGTTTTACGCGGATAAACTAGTATATAAGTAATGACTTGAATTCACACGAAAACTGTCGATTATGATTTTCACATTGATCTGCTTTTGGCCAGCGTTTCGTTGATTTTGACTTGTGATCGATTGCTTCACTGCACTTTTAGGTAGTTTTTAGGTCTTTCAACTAAAGAAGGAGCATGTTTGGTCTTTACTCTAAAGTATACTGCTAAAGATCATCAATGAAGCCTCATTCGAAAAGTTCGTGTTTTAATTTTGGCTCCCCACGTCACGCTGATACACAACTAAACTTATAACCTTGCTTAAAATCGACATTCCATATTGTGTCTGGCGAGTGTTTTAGTGCCACCCACGAGAAATGAGGACTATAACGGCTTTATCAGTGTTCGGAAAGTGTTATACAACACTATACAAATGTAAGACCACCACGATAATGTAAGAGCACTACGATAAGAGCACCTTTTACATGGTAATACTTTCAAAGAGTAATTAAATAAAAACTTATTCACGTTGAGGGGAGCTCTTTTTCATATGCGAATAACAAACATATTTTGTGATCTTCAGAAAGCATGAAAAGGAGTACACCTTGGTCATCGAGGCAGAAGTACATGCTTCCTCATGCTCGGCAGCTGGTGGCAATCTGGGGATTCTACTTGATTTTGCTGTTAGCTGAACTCAGCGCTGCAAAATCAGTATTGGGTGAGTAATACATTCAGAGTATTCTTTGAAGCCTTTTGTATCGTATAATGTAAACAAAATCAGGCCTGTCAACCTCAAACGTGTTACGAGTAAACCTAAATAATTAAAAATATTAGTAACAAAATCATTCATATCTTATATCAACATGAATAATTCCATTTCCTTTCAAATTGTACCAGATTTGCCCCCAAAAAATATGTGTGAAACAGAAGCCTGCAAAGAAAGAGGTGAGAATGCTTAGATGCGACTGGCACCTATCGTCCATCGTCCGTCTTCGAACTGTTTCTAGTTCCTTAATGCATGACCAACTCGCCAAATTTTCAACAGTACAACGACGTAACTGACAATTTATTGGAGCAGCAGATCACGCGTTGGGTGCTTTATACAAAGTAGTGATGAAGTCACCTACGTGAAGCACTCGTAAAAGTACTTAGCGTTTGTGTGTGAACAATTTTCTGATTGATAGGACGTCCGTAATATATCAACATGCGTCCTAATTGAAAGTTATTTAGAATAACGCGCGCAGTTTAAGCTCACCTTAGCGCTAAATTTAGCGATTGCGTTAAGGTACACCACGCAAGACAATTTTAGAATAGCTTTTCCCCAACGCGACCAAAGCACCAAAATATCGTGTGCTTGCACCGCCTTTAAGACACAGTAACAATTTTTATTTCACACACAAAATAATGTAACTTGAGAAAAAAAAATTTTTTTGGTCCTGACCAACACTTTAGATTTGCTCAAGTATGAGAATGCGACGCGGGCGGTCGACAGGTCGTGTCCGCTTCCGTCGTCTCGGCAACTTTCTCCAACATTCACCACGTTCGAACACCTTACGTTTACCGAGAAACGTTCGAGCTGCAAGTGGCCAGCGATCGTTGCGCACCTTGCTGGGTCTTCCAAACCGTTCATAACGTGTTTTTTGTCCTGTCCCAAATGTTTTTTTTTTTGTTTGTTTGTTTTTTGCCATGTTAAGGCTGCGTACGTTTTAAGGCATCAGCAACTAAGATTAAACGTGTGGTAGTAAGGCCTCCAGATCTCCGGCGACGTTGATGTAGAGGTAGAGTTGACGCCACAGGAGGTGCACCGTTCTGGGCATCGCGTTCGGTGGAAAAATCCACTCCTCGTAGCTAGAAGGCCACTGGTCTTGCGGTATTTCTTTAAGAGCTCGTTGCCGGGCTTCGAAGTACATGGAACACTCCCATGCTAGGTGTTTTCTTGCTGATGGCAGAGCGCACCCTCGCCGCATGCCCCCGTCGAGTCGTGTCCATGACGTGCAGCTCCCGTAGTTGTACAATGTCGTCCTGTACTGAAAATTAGAGTCGAGAGGATACGGCCGACGTCGCGTTGAAGACGACCACCAAAGCGGCCACCACCGCAGTCCTGGGAGCCGTTATTTTCTAACTGTGCTCGTCTGGGCTTTAGCCAACTTCTCGCTTATCACGAATTCGCCTTTAGTCTAGCGTACATACACTTTGCGTACACACGAACTTTCCAAAAAAAAAAAAAATAACGTACGCTCGAATAGCGCCCGCAAAGTGCAAAACGCGGTTAGCGTTCGGCACTAGCGCAGTGCCGACGACGCGACTATCACGTCTTTGTAGACATAATATTTTCTCCTTCATTCACGCTTCAATAATTTAGTAGTCATGACTACATTAGCACGAGCGGAAACAAGAAGCTGGAGCAGCTGGAACAACTTAAGCTCGTATATGCTTTGAGGCTAGGATTAAAAAGCCCCTCTAACCACCAGTCAAACTCCCGTTTTTTTTATTTGTATTTTTTTATTTTGCCCGTAAGGGTTATTGAATCCAACAAATGAATATACCTGAAATCACTTCAGTTAAACTCGAAGTATTTTAGAAAAGCTAAGGTAGCCATCCAACTATATGTTACACATTGGAACTAAGTCTCAGTGCAGGAAACACATAGAACTCATAGCTGCAGATGGTTAAGCAAGAATGGGTCTAAGTACTCGTTGTGACCTTTTACTTCGCTACAAAATTTTCCGTTTGAAACGCATGCATGCATTCTTCGACTATGGTAACAAAAAAAAAAAAAAAGGCATGGTGCACATTTCATTGATAATTTCAGCACAGTAAGGCGGGTGTAGTTTATTAAAATTTCAAGTAAAATGCAAACAGGGGTATAAATAATGAAGTTTTTTGTTGTTTGACGTGACTTTTGTATATAGGGCTACCGCAGACCCGCTCGCAGTGCGTATCTTCAATTTGGAGGGCTTCGCTCTTGCCGACTAGGTATTTGTACTCTATAGCCTGTTGCAAGTTTAGAATAGCAGGACAAGCCACTCCCTGAAATGCTTTCTGCTCGCCATCATTTGTGGCTTCCTCTTCTTCAGCATCCGCTCTTCTAGAGTGGAAAGGAAGGGGGGGGGGGGAGCTTTCTAGAATGGTCTTTTAGCCTGCTACTTTCAACCTGCAAGATAACAGTGTGTTATACTGTGGTCGCTTAAATTGCAATGCAATTAATTCATTTCTAGAAAAGATACGATCAAATGAAGAAACTATTAAATGATGTCAAGACTTAATTATCTGCCCATTCCCTTTTTTCGGTGCGAAAAAACAGAAAGCTCCAAACTACAAATATTTTCGTTTTCGCCAATTATCACAAGAGGCTCGCAATATATAAAATGACGGCTAGATACACAAATTTCTCCAAAATGAATACCAGACCAAAGTTTTTAGTAATCGTTACTGAATCAAACTAAATAAACGATGAAACGACGTAACTTTGCACGGTTTAAAGTATACGAGAACCTACCTAATCTTTCTGAACTACACAAGTCAGAAATGTTCCCACATTTAATGTTCCAAATGTTTTAGAAATCTGTCATCCCTTTCACTAGATTCAGAAATCATCTATTAAAAGACTACTCCACCCCTTCATTCTCATCTAAGTAGGATAATGTCGCGCACTATAAGCTTGGCATCAGATTGTTTTTTAAAGAATGCTCTAAGGATGTACGATTGATGCTCGCGACGTACTTTAGGTTTTTTTTTTTTTTAATTAAAACTGATAGTCGACAACCTGCTGCCGAGAGCTACCATTCCCTGACGCAGTGCTCAGGAAGTTACTCTTGCTTAAAAGTAAAAAACGACGCAGAAGAAGGGGGAGGCACACGCGGTCTCTAACCAGTATAAGCTGTATTCTTGTGCTTTGTATGAGACTCCTTTTTTGCTGCTGGCGTCTCGAAGATTTGTTTCTGATTACCCATAGAAAACTCGACTAAAACTCGTTGACGAGGAAAGAAGACATGTGGATAAGCGTTTTTTTTTTTATTTTAATGTATTTACTTAATTAACTTCCTTGTCGCCGGGTATAAATAAATTTCTAATCAACCATTGCACCTAGGTGATTCTCTTTTATACCCTACTTTAGCTACTTGAATAACTTGAAACGTGTAATTGAGCACTTTTTAGAGCGCAGCTCTTAGGGGCCCGTTCCCGGCTTGAGCGGCGTCGCCGTCGGCGTCGGCGTAACCAAGGTCATCCCAAGGTCACGTGGTCCCCAAGGTCATCCCAAGGTCACGTGACCCCCAAGGTCACCCCAAGGTCACGTGACCCCCCCCGAGGTCACGTGACCCCCTTCCGGTCACGTGACACCCCCAGGTCACGTGACCACCCCCAGGGTCACGTGACCCCCCCGAGGTCACGTGACCTCCCCGATGACGTCATCGATGACGTCACCGGCATCCGCATCGTCATCGTCATCATCACTGATGACGTGATCAGTGACGTCACTGGTGACGTCATCAGTGATGATGACGATGACGATGCGGATGCCGGTGACGTCACTGATGACGTCATCAGTGATGATGACGATGACGATGTGGATGCCGGTGACGTCATCAGTGACGTCACTGATGACGTCATCAGTGATGATGACGATGACGATGCGGATGCCGGTGAGGTCATCAGTGACGTCACTGATGACGTCATCTGTGATGATGACGATGACGATGCGGATGCCGGTGACGTCATCAGTGACGATGACGTCATCGGGGAGGTCACGTGACCTCGGCGGGGGTCACGTGACCTGGGGGTGTCACGTGACTTCGGGGGGCATCCGCATCGTCATCGTCATCATCACAGATGACGTCATCGGAGTCCGCATCGTCATCGTCACTGATGACTCCCCAAGGTCACGTGACCCCCCCCCCCAGGTCACTTCACCCCCCAGTACCCTTCCCTCCTCCTCCTCAAGAGCTGCGCTCTAATTCGGTGTTACAGGGAGTTGTAAACGGCTTTCACTTTTTTTCTTTCGTCTATACATAAGTCAATAAATATGTTAATATCATAAAATAGTAATGTTGTCTGACACTTATAAGTGTAAGCTTTGAACAAAAATATTCACTGACGTTAATAATATTTTAATTTAAAGAGTTTAATTACTATACGAATTTTTAATAATTAATTACTAACAAAAAAGAAGCGCGTTCCTTGTATAGATTAGAAATACCACACATTCCGGGAGTCATATAGGTATTCCTTACGCTGTTTGCTGATGCCTTCTAAATTTTGTTTAGGTAATCAATAAAATCAGAATTGCATGGTCCCTTGCTCTTTATGTTACGAATAATGAGCAAGCACCCCTGAGGAGACCGCGCTATCTTAACAAGCCTACAGTTTAACTTTGGTGCCTCTGCTAAAGGGGTACTTAGGCATTTTCTTCGTAGTACTAGATTTGCCTTAAGTTTTCCTAAACATATCAGCAAACTTCGGCCCTGACCGTGTTTTTCGAAGTGAAAATTTCTACTGGAAGCAAGAAAAAAGTGACGTAGCTGGAAGGCAGAAATTCAGTCTTTGGACTGTAGACTTTTTTTCCAGCTGACTACAGGCTGTTTCATGGTGTCCAATGAATGCTTTGGAAGCTCGCGCCAGCACCCGCGCCGCAGCAGGAAGGGAATGCTCGGCATAGTCCATATTTACGCTGCCCTCTCGACCTGCAAGCCTGCCTTCCCCTTACGTCACGACATTAAAAAGCGCGGGAATATTTGAATGTTAGTTTTCGCATCATTTTTACTGACCGATTTCGCAAGAACTATTCTGAATTTCGCGATACCAAAGGCAGGTGATTCCGACAATATAGCTAGTTGGGGTAATTACAAAAATCGCCGGAGTACCCCTTTAAGATCAGAGAGTATCTCTACGTTCACCTCATGGTAACGCTCCGGTTGTTGTAAGTAGTAATGCCGTGGCTCAATATA